ATAATAATAATAATAATAATAATAATAATAATCTAGGAAGAAAAAAAACTAAAACTAAATTTATTTGACCCACAAGACAAGTCAATCCGACCAATCACATTTTTGCCAAACTCCGCCCACACACAAAGAACTCCGCCAATCATGCTCAGGACAAACTCCGCCCACAATTTAAGAAACTCCGCCTATGTATGGCAGAGACCCAAACAGTGGACTCTGACATAAAAAAGGACTTTTGGGTAAAATTTTAARGCTTTTATTGTGAAAAGCACTACACAAACTAAACATCATCAGGGGAATTATAGGAATTTTTTACCCCATCTAATTATATCAAAGCTCCTTTAAATAAAGAAACAAAAGTGAAAGGCAAACCTACTGTGTCTGGAGCTACGAACGTCTCAGTGATCCKAACAGAATCTTTGCTAACTACCATCCATCAATCGTGTGCAGTTTGACACATCTTATTTTTTCCAGCTTGAACAGCTGGCAGCATTATACRCTTGAGTTTATTATTCCTGACAGCCACACATCTATCGCCTTCCTCCCAGCAGCTTCCCGTCTTCAGCACCAACCGGACGAACTGAAGACGGCAGAGCCCAAAGGGACAGACGGTCAGAGCAAGATGGAGCGCCCCGAACAGGAGCACAAGCACTCATCGGTGAGTCTAAAGCCCTCCAGACATCTGTTAGATATTTTGCTAATAAATAAGTAGATTTTAAACTGTTAATGCCAAATTAATAAGCAAAGATTTTATGAGTTAGGAACGACTCAAAGCTACTATAGCAATCTGTAGCTTAATATCTGTAGTTGTGTTTGCTTACCTGTGAAGGAAATTAGTTATAGGTGTTCACTTTTTCTGTTGTCCATAGGGCTGAACAATTACTTGCATTTGCGATAACCTGGCGATATGTTAAAACTAGGGCAGTCAAAGGATTAAAATTTTTTATCTATTAACTCTAAGGTAGCTGTGAATTAATCACGATTAATTTTAAACTTAATATAAAACTTTAAATTTTTAAATATTATTTTTTTATTAAATAAATTAAATAAAATAAGCCATAAAAAGACAAAAAGAAAAAAATGTACATAATGTGTTACACATGAAGAGTTTTTTAATATTATTAATTTAACCTTTATTTATCCAGGTAAACTGTTTGAGAACCACTTCTCATTTACAAACATGACCTGGCACTGAGTGCATTGCAATATACAAACCTACATATTCAGCCGTAGCCTGGTAATGCACCGGCCCAGTGCCAAACCGACCCAGTAAGGCCCCGGCCCACTGGGAAAAGTCCCGGTAGTCCCAATGGCCAGTCCGCCCCTGAGTCCATGCAGTATTTTGCTAGCATTGCAGAAACACACAGACCTTTTGTAGGTAAACATCTCAGGGTTAACATTCCTGAAATCAGAACAGAGACCGACAGTGAAGTTGCGTAACTCTGTTGTATTTACTGGGTTTAATGATGTCACATTCTCTTYGTATCTGGGTGCAGCACTGTTAGCCATTCTCCTCTGATCACCACTCTGGCATCCATCTTTTTTCAGGTTGGACATACACCAAATATTATTCGCAATCCACTAATATTTCTCATTTATACCCATTTCATCACCTAATATTTCGTGTTTCCACCCCACAAAGGCACCTTTTGCTACAAAATAAGCTAAGGAGAACACAGGAAGTCCACCCCTGAGGCAGAAACGAAGCGCAGTTGAGCCACAATTGAGAGACGGATTATCTTTTGGTTGACATGGATCTGCTGTTTCTCATCACAAACACTCAGCTCAGCGGATGCGTTCCAACTCTCCGTCCTGATTTTTTTTTTTTTTTCATTCACTGCGTGGAAATCCTGGGGTCCTCGTGTCGAAAGAAAATGGACCTCCGCATCCACGCGGCATCAAACATGGCTGACGTTTGGTAGCAGTGAAACAGTTCACCTGCTCGTTCGACAGGACGCCGCCGTGAGTCGTTTTTTCAAAGCTCGGGATTTGAACGAGGATTTTTACGCCTGAGAGAGAGAAAATACAGACTGATGAAACAAATTTTCAGCTTTTACAGAGTACTACAAGAAATATGTTTTTTTCTTTGTTTTTTTATTAAATACACATCTCACTGTGACACTGTACATAGTTTTAACTTTGACRTACCAAGTGAGTGGCTGCCACCTTCTGTGTTTTATTAAAAGGCTATTCTGCTGTGCAACTTATTTTTGGCAAGTTTGTCCTGTTTTCTGCAAAATGTTTAACGCTGCTGCCGGTGGCTCTGAAAACTTGTCTCACCCATCTTGTGTGTGGGTGACAGGGTCAACTATATGACTGGGTTATAGTAATAACTGGTGACACATGAAGGTACTGCTGTTTAGTCTCCAAACGCCCTTTGTTCCACACCACCTGTGTTCAGCAGCTCTGTCCGTGACGTAAAGCTGCTTTTTTTCTGCGCACTGATGCACTGCTTCACATGGAAGTGTTTGAGTGATTTCTGTTTTTTATTTTTATTGAAAACCAGCCATCTCCATATGCAGTGCACATCGCTGATAGAGAGCCAAATGTCAGTTTGTTTTTTGTAAAATGTAATATAAATATAAATGTATGACCTACTGTAAGCACTACATATTCTGAAATATCCTTTTGGAGGAGACTGATTTTAATTTATTTTTTTTTCCCCTGAAAATGAATTACACTGTGACTCATCTGGACATTGCCTTTATGATGGTGTCACTGGAGCAGCTTTAGAGGGAAGGGCATATTTAAAGGCACTGTGCTGCCAAATGGCTTGAATGTAAATCTAAATAGAGAATAATTGTATTTAATTTTTATTAGAAAAGAAAGAACAGTTGTTTTATTTATGCTGTTTGATTAAAAAAAACATATTTATTAAGTGGTTAATGGTGACAGAATTGGCACTTAAAAGGTTAAAAAGGACACAGAAACAAACATAAAACAACCTACAGTGTACAATTCTTCCATTAAACTGTTTTAGGAACAGAAAAATTGGCAGTCATATTAAATAAACAGCACTGCAGTCCTCAGAAAGACTATTTGAGCTTGCAAATGTTGGAGTAGATAAAGTCTGCCCCCTTGTGGYGTGATGTCATTACTGCACATTGCTTTGTGGTTCTTTCAATCTGCACTGAGGAAAACATCTGTGTTCTCAATTCAAATGATTGTATTTTTGTCCTAGTTAGYTGTTTGCTTAAGTCTTAGTTTGTAAGGCTTGTTTGTAAATATTGCTTTTCATCTTTTTTTTTTTGTAAATGAAACAAATGTTTAATAAAGATGAATATGAAGCTCATGTTTTTGGGACCCGTATTTTCTAATAATTAGAAATAATTCAGATGAAAACCATGTTAGTTCCCTGTTGTTTGACACAGTTCAGCAGTGATAAGACATGTCGCCTCTCAGCATTGCCTCCCCGGCCCAGTTTGCATGTTCTCATACATGGGCTTGCTGATGACCTCTCTCCCGTTAGCAACACGAAAACAACCAGAAGGGAAATTCACAGCTTCAGGTTCCACCACTTGAAGTCGAACGGTTTCCGCCGCACGTTGGAGCCACAGTGCACCTCTCCCAGGAGTTTGTGGTAGGAGGCGAAGTCGTCGATGAACGTGCACTGGAGACCCAGACCCCCCATCAGGGAGCACATCTCGGCCTCGAGGGCACAGCGTCCATTCACTCTGGGGCCAAACGGCTTTGGGACGCCGAGGTTTTTCCCCAARACGATCATGTTGACCTGGGAATGGGTTTGACATGAAACGGTGTCCTCCAGTTCTTCCAAACTTAAAAGCAAAATCTAAAAAAAAGAGAAATGTATCAAATCTGAGACTAACCATGTCAGGGTAGTAAGCCACTGCTCTGTTTCCCTCATCCTCCTCCTCCATCTTGAAAAGGATCGGCAGGTCAATGATGTCATCATCATCCAGGCCCAGCTCTCTCCTCAGGACATCTCTGTTCCAGTCAATGCAGCTCTGATTAAATAAATAAATGAACAGATAGATAAAATACTTGTTTAAAATTTGAACAAGCTACTTAAAACTGACTACTACATGTATAATTTCCATGTGATTATGTACTACTGTTTTGAAGATATGGCAGAATTCCTGTTTAGCTAGCTTGCCTAAGCTATTTGCCTATAGGCAAAACTCACGTATTTTAACATTTTTATAATTGTCCTTCAAGACATGATGCAGTTTACTTTGCATCTGAAAATACATTTCCTCAAAGGTGTTTTTAATCTGAAAAGAGCTTCACTGAGTGACAACTAATGTTGAGAGCTCAGCAGACAGTTTAACTTTCACTTTCACTTTCTCCGAGAGCCTGCAGGAGCCATGGGTGGGGTGTGGGCACTCCGCCATGAGGAAGTTCGGCTTAAAGACACGTCCCAGGAGCGTTCCTGGTACCAAAAGATGTTTCTGGTCCCCACCTGTCGTTTTGCTCCTCAGCATGGCTTCCTAAAAACGCTGCAGGATTTCTCAAACATGCATGAATGAGTCAAAGCAAGGCTTTGGGCATGTTTTTTATGAGAGTATAACATTATAACCTGATATAAAGCTCAAAAAAGTATATTTTACATGATATTGCCCCCTTTAAAGCAACGCCAAAAGTAGTTTTTGCCAATTTTGCGCTGTAGAAACAAAATGTTGAGGCGGAAATGGGCGTGGCCTATACCACGTGATTCACTGGTGTCATTGTACTGCTATAAGCCAAAAAAAATTGTGACTTATGGTTTGGAAGCCAGAGAACCAAATGCAAWGACATTGATTATGGCGCCCCCTATGGGTTGACATGTCTGACTAGGGCAGTGTTTCCCAAAGTTGGGGTCGGGACCCAAAGTGGGGTCCCGAAACATCAAGGTGGGGTCCTGAAAAGATTTTTGGAATTAATTACATTTTTGTCTTAGTTGTTACAAAGGAGTGAGGTTAGTGTATTTAAAATGATAAATGTAGAATAATAAACATTGTTACTATGCCCATGTTTAGATGACCTGATACAAATGTTTATCATCCAAAAATAGCTGGGGGCACAGGACCCTGCTACTGTTATTTTGTGGGTCAAAAGCTGAAAAGTTTGGGAACCACTGCACTTTGGTTCCCAAAGTTGGGCTTGGGACCCAATTATGGGTCATGAAGCACCTTGGATAATCTCCAGAAATCAATTTAAAGGGTAATAAAATAAATGCTGATGTAATATTTTCCCTATAACTATTATAAAATCACAAAATAAGTATTTATATTTGTGTACAAGCTGTTTAGATTGTCAAAAGCCTGTGTTTTTAGGGTTATTAACAAAGTTAGTGTACTCAGACCAGTAATATTTGGGGTCACAAGTTTTTGCCATGGATATTTTGTGGGTCAGAAGATTTAAAGTTTGGGAACCACTGGACTAGGGGGTTAAGTGTCCTAGAACCATACTGTATGTGGTATTTWTGTAACACTATTGTAAATCATTTTGCTAAAAAGCATGGAACATGTCAAATTTAGCACAATGCCTCAATGATTTATGTAAACAATATAAAATGTATCATTATTATTATTATATTTCCATATATCTTGGTCAAACTTTGCAGTGTAGAAGCTTACGATCCTGCTCACCTGCACGTAGCTATTTTCAGCTCGGAGCTTTTCATCACTAAGAATCTCATCGACTGTCACGAGATGATGATCTTTCAAACCTTTAAGATGCATTGTACAAAGTGACTAATTCAATAAAGAGTTCAAATAGACAGATTAATGCCATCAACACTCWCACCGTACCCTCAAACAGGCTGGCTTGTCCGTGTCCTTCTTCCCGTAGGCCTCGGAACAGTTTGTAGCCTGCATCTGGGCTGGCCAGCAGCAGCCGAAAGCCCTGGAACCAACATGGGAAACAATGAGAACAATTAGTGAGTCGGTAAGTTTGTTAAATATRTTCAAAGATGCACAAACGCTTGTCTGACAAAGTATAGAGGCGCTAAACCCAGCAGACATACCTTTCTGTCAGGTGCAGGGACAAATGTCATGAATTCGTCAACGTGGCCGACACAGAGCCAGTCAGAATATAAGGCAATGGGCTCCTGGATCCTCTGAGCCCACAAGAAGTCTTGAACCACTTTGGTCATGTTTCTTCCTGAAGTTGTTCTTTTAAAAAAATAAAAGAACTTATTAAGCACAAATCAACTCAGAGGCTTATTTATTTATTTTTTTACTGTTCTGTGATTAAGAGGATGTTCTTAATGGTCGAGTCAGTCATGAGCTGTTGGCTTTGTTTCTCTTTATGTTGCTTCAAAGCCAAATAACCAAGGTCATAAACTGGTCTCAAGCAACACTTTTTTTGTAGGGGTTTTAAAATTTTGTTTGGCTAATTAAAAYATTTTTTCAGTCCTTCAGGAATTATGGTAATTAGAGGAAAATGCCTAGAATTTGGGATGAACATTTGCTGAATTTACCAAAAATTATAAAATTAACATTGACAGACTTAACAACAAATAAGACAAAAAAATGAAATATGGAATCTAAAAACAATTTTAGCAAATGAACCATATTTTAAGACATATTCTTATAGGAGAAAAGGAAACGAGCAAAACTTGATGCGGGAAATGAAACCGTCCTGAGATTCAGCAGACAAATATTTCAAAATGTGTTTTTGTGCTTGTAGCAAAGCGCTGAAATACTTCAAAAGAGTCTCTGTGTTAACACTTCGTCTGATACTGTGCCTAATTTATTCAAAAGTCACTGTCATGTAGAAATAAATAAATGAATGAACGAACGAAAGCTTTGTTAAATGAAAACTGATGAAATGACTGGAATCAAAAGGAGGAAAATGAGGAAAAGGAACAGCTGACACACGACTGATAAACACTGAGAAAACTTCAGAAACTCCATAGAATCAAAATTAACAAGCAAAACTGATCATTTGGAAACAAACTGTGCAGAAAATGGAAATGACTCATGACAGTTGCAGAGCGTAATGATCAAATGAAAATGAGCAAATACAGTATGTGTGACTTAAACTCTTTCTAAAACACAGTCAAATCTGTGGGTCTGTTCCTTACGTTGGGAAGGCAACTCCAATAAGGATTCTGCCCAGGGGGAATTCTTTCCCGTTCACAGTGACAGGAGGGCTGACCTCCAGGTTCCCAAACGAGTCCAGACTGTTCACTTCTTCATCCTGGGCCTCCCTGGTCACATAGCCAAAGTCAGGACCCTGAGGGAAGAAGCTTGAGCTTGATTCTAGAAAGTGTTTGGAATACTTTTTGTACTCTAGGTTTGTTAATTTTCTTTTGATAAAGGTTGAATAAACTAAAGTGATATTTTATTTTCATTACATTTAATCTGCTTCCTCATGAGGGAAAAATACAGCAGGTAAAATAAGTATTGAACAGTCATCATTTTTCTCAGTAAATATATTACTAGAGGTGCTAATGACATGAAATTTTCACCAGATGTCGGTAACAACCCAAGTGATCCATACATACAAAGAAATCAAAC